GCGCCCCCACCGCGGGGAAAAGCCACCGGCGGGGAGCGAGGGCCCACCGGCCGAGGCCCCGCACTCACCATGGTGCCCCCCGGCCGCCCCGCCGCAGACCGCCGCCAAACGCGCCAGGGAGGCCCCGGAAGGAGACGCGCCGCCACCCCGGAACTGAAACCCACCCCAATTGCGCACGCGCATCAATGGGCGGCTCCCCCCCCGCCTGCTGCGCGTGCGCCATCCGCCCGACGCGCCGCGAGGAGGGCCCCCCCCGCGCATGCGCCAGGAGCCGGAGAAAAGCGTCAGCACGTGCGGTCTGCAAGTGACGTCAAACTTCTCATCTTTTTTCTTCCCAAAGGTGCCGAAGTCCTACGCCGGATTGGGAAACGCGCGCTCTTCTGCTCCGCTTTGTACAGAGAACACAAACCCGTTACCGGGAGGGCTTTACGCGTATGGCTGTGCACAACCGACAGTTTGTAAAAGTAACCCTGTACGTCGAGACTGCAAACGTCCGTACCCCATCGTTTTTCAAATGTAGCATCAACAGTTCCCCTTGCAAGCAGCCAGACCCGAGGGCAGCGCGCTGCCAGGGACAGGCCCGGGGCACAGCCCGGAAAGCGCAGCTCCCCGACGCAGGCGCGAACGTGTCCGTACCATGCAAGCACGCCCAGTTTTGCTCTGAACAGTTCACGGGAACCAACGCCATGAAATCCGGTGTTTCAGATCTCCATTACAGCGATTTACATGCTAACGGAGTCACAGACGTACTTCGCTTGCCTGGCTCACAACCATCAAAATACTCAGAATCCAAGTAGGTGGATGTGCAACATTTTAAATTCCCAGCTACAAAATTCTGTATTGCACAATAATTTTTGTTAGTCTTATATGAAACAGTAACTATTGTTCCTGCTAATAATTTGAAACCTCAAGTATTTCTCTTGAAATCTGAGTATCTCTGCGCAGTGCTCTGTTCCAACGTTTTTGCTCCCCTGTGCTTGAAGGAACATCCAGTCATTCCAGAAAAGAAACCCAACGCTCATCTCCTGTAGTGTTACTGCAGCACTTCTGGTTCACAAAATTTAAAAAAAAAATAATTAATAAAAGGCAGTAAAAAATACTTTTGTATTCTTTCATCTGCTTTGTTTCTCCACTTACGAATGGAAACATTTTTTTTGCAGGCATTCCATACATCACGTGCAAGACTCCCTGCACAGCAGCAGCGTTACAGGAGGTGGATTCAGAAACGCTGGCACGCAGGCCAGACTCCTCGTCACTCCCCCAGCGCGGCCCGCTGCCTTTAATGGCAACAGCCACATAGATAAATTCCCACAGCATCTGAAACCTACGCAATGTGCCTGGCTACCTCCACACACCACCAGATTCTCCTGTTCTCCAGACTCCTGTAGCCTACCGACCAAAGCCACCTGTACTTCACCGTGCACAGACTGTGCATCTCATCATCACTGGGGCAATTACATCAATCAATCCTTTGCAGCTGGTCTAAAAATCACACTGGCAAGACTGGTTTTCAGTAAGGATTTATTCAATGATTCCCGACAATTTTAGTAAAATAAGATTTCTCTCTCCAGAAAATGATAGCCCTTCAGAGAGCCCTGTTTGTAGAAAATAATCTATTGCACATTTATCTCTTTGCCTTCCTGATCCATGTAATCCACCAGATCTACAAAAACAACTACACTGGAGTTTGTCAGGGGATTGGTCTCCAAAACAAATGAGATACTTCAGTGTTAGTGAAAAAGATTAACATGGAACAAATAAAATATTAGGTTTGATTTTTCCAAGTCCCCACAATTTCTGAAATCAGTATTTGCTCATTAATCTCGTTAACTTTGGAACAACTTACACTTGAAGTAGCACCATCAATATTCTAAACTGTTCCCTACAGAAAGATGACTAGGAAGAGATACCTCAGTTGGAATAATTTTCTCCTTTTTGATGTTACATCCTGGTTTGTGTTTCTCAGCTTTCAAATCCCATTTTCTTTGTTAAAAAAAAAAATTCTGAGAGGACAAAACTACTTTACAGGCACACAAGAATTATTCAGTGATAATAAAGCAGTTAAGCACCACAGTATTAAGAAGCAGTAGCTGCAGGATCGTCATAACCAAGCTTAATCGCCAAGTTCTACAGGAATGGAAAAGCAGACTATAGACGTCACCAGCACTGCAGGTCTTTGACACAGCATTTTTTTAGCTACAGGTTAAGTCCCGAAGACTTTCAGGTCTTCGTAATCACAGAGCTTCAAGCTTTATTACTGTTTAACTAAGATAATTATATGTAAAGATTCAGTTAATCCATAGTAACCTATGACAAGGCTGAACAAGAATATGCTGTGATTAGGTTATCTGTACTACCCCAAGGCAACCCACTCATTTCAAGTGTGGATTTTACTAGGGTTTTGGCAACCACGTTTAAGACTCAAGCACATTCATGCTCTAATAGCAGCTATTAAAAAAAAAAAAATACCAAACAAAACACAACTTAAGCAAGAACCTCTTCCCCACCCCTTAGTTCCAGAAGAGCTGAAAGGCTTTGTTCTTCAGCAAACAGGTTCGGCAAAAGGCATCCTGCCAAAGAATCACGACCAGCTGCAAGAGCAGTCACCGTCTCATTTTGGTTTTACGCTCCGCAGAACCTGCCTTCTACGTCAGGCAGAAGCAAACACTTGGGATTTTTTTCTGCTTAGGCAAAGCAGTACAAGAACATTCCCCCTTTAAGCGCTTCAAATAGAGAGACTTCTTCCAACCGTCTGCTTCCTTCCATCTCTACAGCAGTACCAACTCGGCCTTTCTAAAGCCTGCCTAGGTTGGCTGCTGGCAGCCAAGTGACCCAGGCCCTAGCCACCTTCTCACTAAGAATCTTCTTTTTCTCCCTGAACTATGGCTCAATGTTTTCCATGGGCTTTGAACATCAAACCCAGGCTGAAAAACTTTAGTTCTTTATAAATCTTTATTTCATTAAGTGTTAAGGAACTCTAGATTGCTATGGCAGCCTGCTGCAGAACAGCAACAATCTGATCAGAGTTCACCTGATGTGACACAGCAGCTACGACCATCGCAATTTTCTGGGACACACACATTTTAAGTATCAGATTTCCTGAAACAACCCAAAGATTATCAGGCGATATGCCTGCTTTTAGAGTTTCAAACACTCCCAGGTAAGACTCCTCATTGGGATCTTCTAGTTCATCAACTGGGTTCTTGCTGCTCTTCTCCAAGTCTCACCTACGTGCTATAGTCTGCTGAAATACACAGGCTTAAGTTGTTCCTGGAAGACCACAACCTTCAGGGGCATTATTGCATGACTGCATCACCTTTAACAGCCTTGCTTCCAAAAGAACTGGAAACCTTAACATGATCCTTAACTGGTTAATTATAACACAGATGTAGAAGACAAGTAATAGTGCCAGTTTAGTTTTACTCTAGCATAGCTGTAGATATCAGTCTGGTATTTCTCTCTCTCGAGATACACACACTCATCCCAACATCACAGGCAATTTTTTCCCTGCTATCGCACACATAGCCTATGAAAAACAGTTTGGAACTTCCAAGTAAAGAAAGCCTTTAGTTCGTGTGTGAAGATGCAAATACAAACTGACTGCAGTATGCTATGCCCAATCATAACTGGAGCTAGCGCTCCCAAAGACAGAGGCTCGGGAGGCACTCCAGCTGAACCTGCTGTTAGTTGCCTTGAACAGCAGATGTCAAGACAGTTGTGCCTTATGGTGAAGCACTGATCAGTCAAGAACTCCTGCCCTCGTTTTCCTTGCACATCAGGACCACTTTATTCACTTAGAGTGGATGTGCTCAATATACACGCTGCATCAGCCCTCTTTTCACCTGTGTAACTTCCTAAGTGTTTACTAACCCTTAAGTCAATCAGCAAAGTAGAACAACTTATAGGAAGTGCCTGTAATACTAGAGGTTTTAGATGATAGTTCTTAGTGCAATGACATCTGTGAAGGCTGAAGTACTGCTAACAGACCATTAAACTACTCCAGATTTGGAACTCACTGTACCTTCAACAACTTTTGTGCCTTCTTCCATGATTTTCAAAGAAATGCTTTAACCACATCAGCATAGATGAAACAAGCCCCCTCTGAGACCACGCAATCCATTCGCATGAACGTAGGCAGGTATGCAGTCCTCCTTCCAGACTATTGCGTACTTCATGTATTTAGAGTTTCCATCGGGTAGCATCAAACTGAACGTAAGACAGTACAAAAGAAAAGTCCAAACTAAACTTTTTACACCTCCACATACCCCTTTTTAATATGTTATTTTGCACTGTGTACATGAAAACCAAAAATAAACAAAAGGAACTTTAGCCAAACTCCCCTTCCTCCTCCAGCTTTATTGATAGTTTAAAATTACATTTTCTATGTTCTAGGACTTCAATTGCTTTTACCATCTTACTTTAAAAACTGATTACAAGCAAATGAAACTCAGTTGTCTAAGTGATATAGTATACAAAAATAACATCTTGATTTCTGTGAAAATGCATTTATTTGCAACTCCTGAATAGCTCCAAATTGTATATGCTATGAGCACTGATGTCTGGGTTTCAGATTTACTTTGAAATATTTATTCAAAAGCTTCCCATTACGTTCTGTATCTCCAACGTGAACATTCATTGACTGAATTACTGTTACTTTTAAGTTTATTCCTGATTTCTCTCTCTCTCTCATGGCCATTAACAGGCATGTGCATCTTGTTTGTTTACTCCCACTCAGCTATATGCTCTAGGTAGGGCCTGATACAGATATTACTTGGTGTTAACAGCTACTGAGGTCAGACAATCCAAGGCCATTGTAATAAAATTAAAGTTATGAGGAAGTTTAGACACTTCCAGAATTTCTTTCCTCCTGCATAGGATCACTTCCATGTAACCCAGAGAGGGCTTCGCTGGTCTGACTCAACTCTTCCCACTCATCAATCCCTATTCACCAGTGGCACGGAAAGGGGGTTCTTTAACAAAGCATTATACATAACACCTCTACCAAACTAAACATAAACATTTTTGTAGTTAAATGCAGAAAGTTGATTTTTCCACCCCTTTCCTCCTTTTACACGGCAAGTAAAGCTCACTGGCCTGGGAGTAGCCTCTATCTGCCAACCTTTGGCCAGTGAAGAGGATTCAGAGAAAAATAATACAACCATCAATCAGAAAAAGGAGGGGCGACAAAGGAAAATAATTAGGCTGTAGCTTCAATTGTGCATTCCCGTGCAAGGTGCCCTGACTCGCCGCAGCGATAGCAG